TTAAATCAAAACCTTAGGTTTATTCAAAATCCTCCAAAATCACAATATTGTTTGTGAAAAGCAAATAGCTAAGTTAAAAACCCATAGAAGAGTGTAGAAAATCCCTACCTCAAAGCTAGAAGATGAGCAAAACAAGGACGAAACTCGGATGAAGCCGAAACTCAACTCTATTCGGATGAAAACGTAACCCTTGAAATGCTCAACATTTTTAAAAAAAGGCACATGGGTAGAGAAACTACTAAATCTAAATGAAAATGTAGAGAGAGAGAGAGTGAGTTTTAGAGAGAGAAGCTCTAGATCTTGGTTTTTGAAATGTTTAGAGAGAGAATGAAATGAAAAGGTGATGTAAAATGACATTTTTACGAACTAATATACGCACAATCTGCTCGAGCGCAAGAAGTGACGCTCAAGCGCAAAGACACAATGAGAAAGGGCATCACCGCTCGAGCACAAGAAGTGACGCTCGAGCGTAAAATACACACTCCTAATAGTTTTGCAGACAGTAAACGAACGCTCGAGCGCAAGAAAGGTCGCTTGAACGCAGAAAGCACCGCTCGAGCGTAGAACATACTCTCCCAGTACTTTTGCAGACTTGCAAAAGTACTGAGAGTTCACAAAGTCTGCTTGAGCCAAGAAGTGACGCTCGAGCGGAGGAGTAAAATTCTGGGTAACAAAAGTTTGAAAACTAAGCAACCAACCTGTTCCAAACGCAACCAATACAATCCAAAAGCTAAACTCAAGAAGGGAAAAGAGGAATAAGACAAGAATTACAATACAGAACCATGAAACCCGAGTCCAGAATATCAAATGTATAGTGATCCCGGATTTACCCTTGTTATAAAGTGATTCGGACATGTGTCCGTGGATGTTGGTAGTTGTTTATTATCTTGTTTACATCCTTTTACTTAGTATTTGAGTTATGGGATGTGTTGGGCAGGTTTGTTACAGTTTGGTTGAGTTTAGAAACCAAAACTAGTTGCCCAGATTTTGACCTGTCCGCTCGAGCGGGGGTTTTGGCGCTCGAGCGGGAATTGCACCCATCCAGTATTTTCTGTGCAGTGTTGGACGCTCGAGCGTGGTATTGGCCGCTCGAGCGGGGTTGTGTGAGTGCTGCTCGAGCGGGGAGTTAGAAGCTCGAGCGATGGCCTGGTTCTGTAAAAGTTCTGGGAGTGTGTATTCGCCGCTCGAGCGGGTTTGTTGGTGCTCGAGCGGGAGTCTGTGAGTGACGCTCAAGCGGGGTTTTTGACGCTCGAGCGGGTTGACTGGGTTTAAGTTCCGTGTTTTGACTTTTCAAATCACTTTTTCACTTTCTCTTCTCTCTCCTACTTTCCGACTTTTGGATCACTTTTTTAATTCCTTTTCTCTCTCTTACTTTTCCAAACCTCCCTTTGAGAGCTTCTCTCACTAGAACCTCAACTTCTCTTTAGGTATTGATCTAGCTAGGGTGTTTTCCTCACCTTTGGTCTTTACAAAAGTTGGGTTGATCGTCGAGGGCTTTACTTTGATCCGAAAATTTCGAGTTTTGGAGCACGTCGAGTTTCGTCATCTTCTTCCCTTGAGCTCCGAATTTGAGGTAAGGATTCCTACTCACTCTTATGGTCTTTGACATAGATTTTTAGCTATTTTGATAAAGTATTGAAGTTGGGTAATTTTGGGACTTAGGGTTTCAAAATGTTAAAGGAGGGTTTTTATTATTTTGATTCTAAAATGAGTAATTTGGGTTTCAAAATAATGGTTTGGTTGTTGGTTGATGAAATATGGACCATTGGGTCATTATTGGAAAAATGGAGAAGAATGCCCTAATTGGTATATAAACTAATTGGTATAATTAATTTGGAAAGTTATGGATTTATGAAATTGAGTTGTAAATAATGAAATTGGGTCATTATGTGATGAAATGATGGAGTTGGATTTATTAATCGCTCACTCTTGAAAACATTGATATTTTATCTGTTGAAGCTTTTATTATCTGTTTAGAAATAATTGCTTGGGCTACCGGTGGAGGGTAGTTTTGATTGTTGTAGACAACACATGATGATATCCAAAATGGAACTCCATTTCTGTAGGCAAAAAAAAGTAGTTTCCAATCTACTTTTATTTAATTTTGCAAGAATAACATTTTGATATACTTGTTCTGAGCAATGTTTTATTTTGGGTGTTTTAACTTTAACACAACTGAGGAAAATCGATTAACATCGTCTGGTCATACAATGGAGACCAATAATAGCACATATAGGAAGAGTCACGCAGTCCGCATCCACACCGACAGTAATACTAGGGAACAGACAATTGAGCTTAACAGGGCTTGAGATAATAAGAAAATATATGTTGGCATGTAGTTTACAGCCATTGCTCAAGTGGAATGGCAAAGAAAAATTCATGTAACTGGCCCTAATAGTCGAGACAATACCTTGATTAGTAGTCTAATTTTTAGACCATCATTTTCATGTGATCAACCATATGTAAATACACACACGAGGTACAAATGATCTTGAAGACAAAAGACCAAAAACAATGTGTTTTTCAAACGCAAAATTAGGTATTGTTTGATAAACTGAAAACTGAAAATCAAGTACCGAAACGTGAATGTTGAATTTTTTATTCTAAAATCATGCTCGCTATGTACTGAAATTTAAGCATTAAATTTAATCAAGTTGTTTGACACATACAAGTTGAAATTTAAAATTTATAAATTTTTTTCCTCCCAAATTTTATGTTATGATGGTGGTATGTTGGTGAAGTGGCAGCGGTGTTGGCAGTGTGTTGTTGACAGTGGTTGTGGTAGTGATAGTTGTAGGGTCATCATGGCAATGGTAATTAAGTGATTGTGGTGGCATGACTACAACGGTGGTTTTGTGGTGGCAGGATAGTTGTAGTGGTAGTAGCATGTCAATAGTGGCTGTAGTGGTTGGAACAGTTTTTTTAAAAAGCGAGCCTAGGTGCTAAACGAAGCGAGGCGAGGCGCAGTGTTGGCACTTGAAGTAGACGAAGCGAGGCGCATTGCGAGAAACGCACGTAAGGCGCTGAGGTGTGCGCCTTTCGCCTAGGCTCAAAGCGCACGCTTCGTGCGCTTCGGCTCGGACTGACCTGTTTTGTGTTTGTGTACTAGCCACGTAAGATTAAAACTCTTATAAAATACAAATCTGTTTGTGAGACGAAGCCCTAAATCTATTGCAATCAAAATTTGAGCTTCAGCATCGATGTGAGCTTCGACATCGACGTTGTCTTCAGGTTCGTCTCTTTCGTTTCTTCTTCTCTCTTCTCTTCTTCTTCTTCTTCGTCATCTCCGTCTCTGTTTTTCGTTTCTTCTTCTCTCATCTCTTCTCTCTCTGTTTTTCGTTTCTTCTTCTCTCATCTCTTCTCTCTCTGTTTTTCGTTTCTTCTTCTCTCATCTCTTCTCTCTCTGTTTTTCGTTTCTTCTTCTCTCATCTCTTCTCTCTCTGTTTTTCGTTTCTTCTTCTCTCATCTCTTCTCTCTCTGTTTTTCGTTTCTTCTTCTTCTTCTCTGTTTTTCATTTTTTCTCCTCCTCTTCTTTCGTCTGTCTTCTCTTCTCTTCGATGGTTTCTTATTCAATTTTTTTTTATTCTTTCTTCTTCATTTTTTTATTCTTCTCTTCTCTAGTCTCTGTCTTTTTCTTGCCTTTCCTTGTCCAGTAAAAAAAAAAAAAACCCTAAACCAATAATTGCATATTTGATATTTTCAATTGCTTGTTCTTCTTTGGTTCTCAATCCTTTGTAACTTGACGAGTCAAATGCCGAGTGCTGAAAGTGGAAAGAACGATCCAACATGGAAGTATTCAGCGATGATAAATCCCGGAAACCTAATTAAGTTCAAATGCAATTTTTGTGGAAAAGAGATGAATGGGGATATCTGTCGAGTTAAGCAACATCTTGTTGGAGGGTATAGGAATGTGACTAAATGTGTTAGATGCCCAACTGAGGTTAGAGATGAGATTTTTGAGTTTATGGCTAAAAAAAAAAGCAAGTTAAGGAGCAAATCAACTTGATGCGCGATTTTGATGATATGGTTGATGAAGAAGATTTTGAGGATGAGGATGATCTTGTAGAACTCCCTCAGCATGGTAAAAAGCCCATTCCTACTCAAGGTTCTACTCAAAGAACCAAGTCTGGTTCTGTTCAATCCAAACTTAAAAAGCCTAGAAAGATAGGGCCTATGGATTGTTTCTTCACACTTAATCCAGATGTGGTGGTGCAAAAACAAAAAGGCAAAGGGAAGCAAAATAAAATTGATGAAAATGTACCCTATAGGAAAGAGTTAATGCAACGGGTGTATGTTAGAATTGCAAGATGGATGTATGACATTGGGATTCCTTTCAATGCAGTGAATTATGACAGCTTTGGGCCAATGATGGAAGCTATCGGGCAATTTGGCCCTGGTTTGAAACCCACCAACTTTCCACATGATACGAGTTCCTTACCTCAAAAAAGAAGTGAATCACGTCAACAAATTGATGAAGGAACATAGAGACGATTGGGTAAAGTATGGATGTTCTATAATGTGCGATGGTTGGACAGATCAGAGAAATAGGACTTTGCTTAATTTCTTAGTGAATTGTCCGAGAGTCACCATGTTTATTGAATCCATTTGCTGCATCTAGTTACTCAAAGGATGGAAATAAGATATTTAATTTGCTTGATAAGTTTGTGGAGAAAATTGGAGAAGCTAATGTGATCCAAGTTGCCACGGATAGTGCGGGCAAATGTCTTGGCAGGTAAAAATCTTTAGAAAAACTTATTATGTTATTAGTTTGCAACATAAATCATTTTGTTTCATATCATTAATTTTGTGTTTTGGTTGTTACTTCTAATAGGGAAACTTTTGGAAGCAAAGAGACCCCACTTGTATTAGACGCCTTGTGCAACCCATTGTTTGGATTTGATGTTGGAAGATATCTTCAAATTACCCTATTTTAAGAAGACCTTTGAAAGGGCATTGGGATACATGATTACATTTATAACCGACCATCTTTGTTGAATATGATGAGGCGTTTTACTCAATTGAAGGAGTTAGTTAAGCCTGCCAAAACTAGATTTGCAACGGCTTTCTCAACTTTACAAAGGGTTTGTCAACAAAGGAACAATTTGAAAAAGATGTTCACTTCAGAGGAGTGGATCAAAAGCAAATGGACGAAGGAGCCACAAGGTAAGAAGACAGCTCAAATACTACTAATGCCTTCATTTTGGAACCATTGTCACCTTGCCCTCCAATTTTCATGTCCTATTGTTCGTGTACTAAGAAAGGTTGATGGTGAAGGAAAGCCTCCAATGGGTTACATTTACGAGGCTATGGATAGGGCTAAGGAAGCTATTGCAAATAGCTTCAGTGGAAATGAAGAGAAGTACAAAGATGTGTTTCAAATCATTGAACAAAGGTGGAATGTTCAATTGCATAGCCCTTTACATGCAACTGGGTTTTATTTAAATCCAGAATTTTTTTACAAAGATCCAAGGGCTGCAAAGGACAAAGAAATCGTATCAGGCCTATATCAATGTATATCAAGGTTGATCCCAGCACTAGAGGTCCAAGATAAAGTTACTACAGACTTAAAACAATATGAAAATGCTAAAGGACTTTTTAGAATACCTATGGCAATTAGACAAAGAACTACAAGGGTACCAGATGATCTATGTTCATCCACAAAATTAAGTTAGTAGTCAATTCCTTATAGTTTAATTATTTGTGAAGTGTTAAGTAATAATCATTTACAGCTGATTGGTGGAGTTCTTATGGTCATGATGCTCCTGAGTTGCAGCAATTTGCCATCAAAGTTCTTAATCTTACTTGTAGTTCATCTGGTTGCGAGAAGAATTGGAGTGTGTTTGAACATGTGAGTATCCGTTGTCAAATTTGGGAAACTCTAAAATTTTCTTCCAAATTTTTTTTAGTTATATATGAATTTAAATGTTTTTTATTTATTGTTGCAGCTTCACAGTAAAAAAAGAAATAGGCTAGCTCAAAAACGTCTCAATGATTTGGTGTTTATCAAGTATAATAGAGCATTGAAATGTCGATACATTTCACGTGGCAAATTTGATCCCATCTCTTTGAAAGATATTGATGAAAGCAATAAATGGCTGATTGGGAGAATGGAGAATGAGCCTGTGTTTGATGATGATGATGATGATTCTTTGGGGTGGAATGATGTTGCTGGAGCTGCTGGAGTTGAGGAAAGTAGCCAAAGAACTAGACCAACCACAACTAGGACAACTCCAATTGGTTCAAGCTCACGTCGACTTGTAGATGAAGAGGAATGGGAAGATGTAGATTCAGATGAGGAAGAAGAGGAGGATGTGGAGGGATATAAATCCAATGATGATGAAGAAGATGATGGAGATGACGCTTCTTATTAAGTTCTTGGATAATGCATCCATGAGACTAGTCACTAGATGTTTAGTAGTTTTCAACTTTGTGTATTATTAAGTTGTTATGTTTGTTATTTGATGTTACTTTCACAGTTTTTGGAATGTCGAATATTGTTTTGTTCATTTTAGAATTCTATAAATATTTGTTTATGGTGAAAATTGTGCTATATTGATATTTTGTTTAACTTTTATAACTTGCACCTCGCTTTGGTGAGGTGGAACGCCTCGACGCTTAGGCTCCAGGTGACCTTGGCGTCCCGATGCTCCTAAAGCTTTTTAAAACACTGGGTTGGAAGGACGGAGGTGATGATGACATTGGTGGTGGTGGCGGCGGTGGTGGCGGCGGCAGCGGCAATTGTGGTAGTATTGATGATGGTTGTGATTGTGGTTGTGGTGGGGTTGTGATTCTAGCAGCTTAGAGTCATCAAATCTGGTCCAAGAAGCAACAAAAGTGTTGGTCTTCAAGGGTAAGTAGACTTTCCCCCTTTTGTAGCTCATTTTTGCGCCAATTTCTTAGCCAAGTTGCTTGTTGTTTTGGGCTCCGACCTATTTTAATTTTAGAATACCATTTTTGAATATAAAGTTTATTAATCAGACTTAACCGTTTTTCTTCAGGATTGTTGGATTGAGATTGGTGTGACCGATTATCAAATATCAAATTATCAGGGTTAGTAGGATCAGAATCATGTTCAGAGTCATTTGGAGATTCTTGATCATTATTTTGGAAATTGTCTAGACTTTTATTAAGTTTTAGAGTAATAATTTCGTCTTCCAATTTTTTATCTTTATTTTGTAATTCTTTAATTATTTGTTTAATGTGATTGATTTCTTGTTGTAAATCTTGTAGTGTAACTTCTTTTTGTTTATTTTTAAATTTATCTAAGGTTTTGGATAAACTAATTATGGGTTTATCAAACTTAGGTTTGTTATCGGAATGAATTAATAATGATTTTAATTTATCAATATATTTTTGTTTTAATTTGGGATCATCTAATTTACTAATTAATTCAATAAGAGCTGATTCTTCTTGAGTATTTTTTGTAAGAACAGTAATTTGTTTAACTGGTTTACAACAAATATCATTACATCCTATAGTAATATTGTTATCAGAATCATTACTAGGTGATTGGTAATCGGATGAAGTATTGGGATGATCAGAAGAAGAGGAACTACTATTAGATTGATTTAATTGAAAGATTTTAAATAATTGATTTTTGGAAGTGTCATCAATTTGAAGTTGATTAACTCGATCTTTTAATTTTTGTTTTTCTTTACATTTATTTGAATAATGACCTTTTTGACCACAGTTATAACAAGTAATATTTTTGGTAGATTTAGATTTTGGATGTGATTTGGATTTATAATATTTCTTTTTAGGTTTATGTAGACACCCCATTTTTGACCGACCTTAAGACTCAGACATCACCGATTGAGCGCTTGGTAATGTTTCATATCGCGCTTGTTCAGAAGTCTTAGAATCGCGGCCGTGGGCCCTGCCTCCGGATTTCCGAACCCTCTTCTGTGCCTTGCCTCGGTTTGCGAACCAGACTTGGTTTTCTCTGTTTCTTTTCCTGAGGGGTGGGAGAGGTCCCGTAGACCATCTCTCAGTGGTCGTGGGCTACATTTTGTGGCTGTAGGTCATTTTGCCCATTTAGGAGCCCGGTTTCCGGTTTTCGGAGCCGTCAGGCCGTGTGCCTCGGTTCGGGACTGCTTAACCATCTCCTATCACTCCGGTTTTTGGCATGCATCTTATTTACTCCCTTTTGAGGGACACTGAGGTCTGAGAGACCCACTTCGTGGTCGAATGCCACTTTCGGTGCTTAACAGGCAGTTTTCGGGACCCCGAACTGCGTGTTTCGGCCCCCGAGCATTCGTTTTGCATCGGTTTTCGTTCATTTTTGGCAGGTACCTCTGTTTTATCACCAGGAAGGTCACTGGAGGGTGGGAGGCTAGCAATTATCTTGGCAACCAGTTATATTCCATTTTCGCCCTCCGACACCCGTTTTCTCACTTCCGAGCCAATGTTGAAAACCTTGAGGCCACTTTCTTCAACCCCAAACTACATGGGAGGATCCTAATATCATATGGCCGGCCAGAAACTCCAATTGAACCTTTTGAACCCCTCCTAAAAATGGCTTATTCTCTCTCCTGTTTTACAGTTTTCAAATTCGAACCACAGGGTTGTGATGAGAGGACCTTGGAGGACACCTTTTTGTGATGGCCGGCTAGAAAATCAACTTGACCTTTTTGACCCCTAGCCGGCCGGCTAGGGGGGGTGGCCGGCCGGCCACCTGTAGCTTTGAAAATTGGCCGGTCATGTCCCTCACAATTTGCACTTTACAGCTGTATAGCTGTTGTCCCCCAGAAATATCTACATCCGGGGGACACCTTTTGGGGAGAGGACTTGGTCCTTTTCCCCTACCCTTTCCTTCCATGCTCCCCCTCTCCTTGGTCCATATAACCAGCTGCCAACATTGGTTTTACGGGTTAGAAAAATTGCTTCAAGCATATACATACATATCTCCATCCATCTCTCTCATTTTCCTTGAAAACCCCTAAGTTTTGGCTCAATTTCTTCATCATCTTCAAGTTCTACCATCACCGCTCCATTCCAGCAGCAAAGGAAGGGATTCCAGTAGCTCAGAGTCATCAAATCTGGTCCAAGAAGCAACAAAAGTGTTGGTCTTCAAGGGTAAGTAGACTTTCCCCCTTTTGTAGCTCATTTTTGCGCCAATTTCTTAGCCAAGTTGCTTATTGTTTTGGGCTCCGACCTTAACTGAAACCCGACCAAAACTGAAAAGGTCATTGTTTTCAGCTCATTTTCTTGTTTCATTAAGGTCTCAACCCAGTTTGAGCCCTCCATATTGCACTTGCTTCAATATCCTCCTTGAATGCCATTTTCTAGCATGCTTTGGCAGCCTATCATGCTTCTGTTTTTGGTCTTTTTACAGGCCTAGAAATAGTCTTATTTTGACCTTCTTAACATGTTTTTTTAAGGGTCTTTGGCTGTTTGGTGAATGCTTTGCATACTTTGTGTTATAGCCACCTTTTGAGCCTCATTTTACATTGCATTTTTAGCATGTTTGTATACTGTTTTGGAGTTTTTACAGTTCTGTAAATATGTTTATTTTTGGTCCCTCTTCAATGTTGTAGAAGGGAATTTTTCAGTTTGGGCTGTGCATGTACCACTTGCCTCTTTGGCCATCTTTTGGCCCCTTCTCTTGCATAAGAGTGCAGCCATACCTGTGTTTGTTTTTAGGGTTTTTACAGTTCTGAAAAACATCATATTTTGGGCCCCTCTTCAACTTTGTTGAAGGGCCCTAACCTATTTGGAGTTAGCAGCTATGAGTTGCTTCATAATCTCGCGTTTAGGGCCATTTTTGCATGCCATTGTTGCCCTATCTTTGCTTGCTGTTTGGCCATGTTTTGAACTGGAAAAATGCTTATCTTGGGATTTCCTTGCTTCTGTATTTTCATTGCATGTCCATATTGTGCATGTTTGGTATAGCTATAGGCCATTTCGGGTGCCAAAATTCATATTTCGGGACTATTCCCTGCATCGGGTGTGTTTTCGCCTCATTTCGGGGCTGTTTTTCCCCCACTTTTCATGGCTGAAAATCCATTAGCATGTTGCATATGCCATTTTCATGCATTTGCATTGCATATACCATTGCCTCGGTTTGCGTGCCCACGTGCACGCATTTCGAGGCACTTCATTTTCATCCATTGGCCTCTTATGTGAGTGTGGCTAAGGTTCTCTCATGTTAGTATAAGTCCATGTTGCATTCTATATGCCATTTCTGCCATATTGCATCGTGTATGCCATTGCCTCGGTTTGCGTGCCCGCGTGCACGCATTTCGAGGCACTTCATTTTCATCCA